GCTCTCAAATATGGGCAGGAGGGGGGGGGGGTTCAGGCCAGATCTATGATCTTGTAATCCCAGAACAGCCCAAACACTTTGCAGAGCCAGAGAGCCAACCAGATTATCACGCTGGAGCATCACCAGCACCCCAAGGAAAAATTCACAGAAATGCCTCCCTTTCAAAGATTAGGAAAGGAGGCTCCCAGAAGCCGTCCCTTGCCTCAGGCCACACAATTAGTAAGTTCTAGGGACAGGTCTGGAGCTGGTAGCAGGCTGCAGTGAAAACTTAAGCTTCCACCCAGAGCTAATGCATTTCACAATTCACAAGGCTTAGAAAAGCTATCCCCCATGACCTGTAGATGAGGATTCCCTTGAAGGCCTCTGAGAAACCCAGGCTGCAACCCCTGACGAATAAGGCATGAGGAAGGGAGGGGAGGTCAGGTAAACCCTGGGGACCCTCAAGACCTCCCTCCTCCCTCCACCAAGTGCCCCCACAGAGCAGTCTAGGAGACAGGTGTTCTACCTGCTTCACCCTAGTAATGGTGTGAGATAAGGGGCTAATTCTATGTGTGGGACAGAAGTCACCAAGCCAGTTGCTGGGCCTGAGGTAATGCCCAGCTTCCAGCACCCCACTCTGGTCCCTCCTTGGAAGACCCAGTTTGGTCCCATCTGTGACTTTACTTATCCAAGGAACTCCCAGAGTGAGATGCTCTCCACCGGTGGCAATCCTACAAGTGTTCTGTAACTTAAGTCTTGGAGAGCTGCTGCCTGAGGCCCAGAGACAGAAAGCAATGGCCCATTGGCAGAGACTGGAGTGTCAAAGCCAGGATTTGAATCCAGGGCTTCCTGGCCCCGAGGCTGGCCTAGGGCCTTATGTCCTCAATTCATGCCACCTTCCTTCTCTAGACCCCACTCCTGACTCTCTGGATTTCTCCTCCATGCCTCCCTGGCCTCCTCCCCTGGAAGGAAACGCATCCAAAGTCACCCCAAACCACTTTTTAAGTGACCAGATCCCAAGAATAAGGGAAAAAGGGGAGGGGAGGGAGGGCAGTTATAAATTCTGCTCAAACGCTGGCTGGCATTTCCACTGAAGCTGGGGCTGCTAAATTTGACGCCCAGAGAGGCCAGGCTTGGCTTCCTTAGAGTCTGCATTTGCTAAGGCTCCTGGGATCCACTTCGGCCAGTGGTTATGATCCTCCCCTCCACCATCTAGTTATTCAGCTCAGCTCATCAGACAGGTAGTGAGCACCATTAGGTGCAGAATAACTAAGCCAAGCCCTGAGGTCCTGGGGACAAAAACAAAGAAGCCTTCTCCTCGTGGAGTGTCAGTGAACACAGAGCAGATCTGGGGCGTCGACACCAGGCTATTTCACCGTTAAACCACCATTAAAATTTAACAAGATAAAAATGAGAGACAAAATGCTGGAATGGGATAGAAGGAAAACACAGTTCCTGGGATCCTAGCTCTGGAGCTGGCAAGGGTCCCCGAGGGCCAAGTCCAAGTGAGGAGAGTCAGACCTCGAATTCAGCGCAGAGCAATGGGATGTACATGTACCAGGGAGGGGGCCCGCTGGCCGATGCCAGGCTGCTCAATGACTTTGCCATGAGGGGGGAAGAGTCCCACCTGGAGGCAGCCTGTGCAAAGGGAGGACGAGGAAACCATGAATGTTTCAGCTTAAAAGGAGGCCAAGAATCAAGTCAAAACCAAGGGGAGAGAAGCCCTTTGGAATGTCTTTGGTAATTCTCGACAGTGCTTGCCATCACCATCACTTACTGTCCAGGCTCCTGGCATGGCTGGGATGCCTCTCGATGAGAAGTCAATCCCTTCTGGTCCAAATGGACTCTGGCTTTCAAACATGAAAAGTGTTCTTTGAAAAACACATCCCTGTGAAGAACTGAGCCAAGATGAAAATGTAAAGTAGCACAGCCTAAATTACACAACTGAAGACACCTCCATCCACAGGGTACAATCCTCCCTCATGGTGCTTGGATCCTCTCTGGGCCTCCAGGCCCACCACAGGCTGGCACCACACCCCTCAGGCTCATTTTACCACACCTTCTCCCAAATTCTATGCTCCAGCCAAGCTAACAGCCTAGACTAATAGGCTTTCAAGAACTGGAAGAGACCTAAGAGGCCGGGTGTGTGCATCTGGCTCCGGGGGAGAGCCTGGGCCCAGGAAGGGAAGGCAAGCAGCCCACCGTCCCAGTAGGAACAAGGGAAGATTCAACCCTTGTTGTCCAAACCTGGGCCTTCACATCTTCATCTCCTTCTTCACAGATGGAATTCCTACCCGAGTTGTTAAACAAAAAAGGAGCTATAGAGTAGAAAAGGCAATGGGTTCCTAGTCACAAAGCCGAGTTCAAATTTCAGGTCTGACCACCTATGGAGCCTTGGGTAAATCACTTGCCCTAGCCAAACCTCAGTTTACTTATTTTTAAAATGGACTGAACTCCATGACATCTGCTATCCTATTCAGATCGAAATCTGTGATCCTATGATCTAACTTCAAACAGCACAGTCAGTCAACAATCATTTACTAAAGCACCTACTGTGTGCCAGAACAAAGCCGCTAAGTCTGCACAGTGCATAGAGTGCCAAGCCTGGAATCAGGAAGGCTCATCTTCCAGAGTTCAAACCTGGCCTCAGACATTCACTAGCCATGTGACCCTGAGGAAGTCTCTTCAACCTCTTTGCCTCAGTTTCCCCATCTGTAAAATGAGCTGGAGCTCCAGCATCTTTGACAAGAAAACCCCAAATGAGGTCACGAGAGTTAGACATGACTAAAGAATGTCTCAAAACAGATACACTGAGTGCCGCTGCTGTGCTAAGAGCTCAGATCTCATTAGTAGATGGTAGTGGCAGTTAAGAGGGAGCCGCTGAGGACTGCTGAGCTATGCGGGTTGTTGCCACACCTACAGCTGCTATGTAAGGGGTGGGCCACTGTGAGCGTGTAAAGACCCACTGGGCACAGGACAGAGAGAAGGGAGAGCAGGGGATGGACGAGAAAGGCGTCGCACATCCCTGAAACTAGCTGTTGGGAAAGGCAAGGGAATGTGGCTCCTGAATGGCATGGAGGGAGATGAGGCATGTGCTGAGACTGAGAGTCTGAGGGGGAAGAGTTCCATGACCCTTGGTCCCAGCAACAACACAGTAACAAGGGTAAAGGCAGGAACACCCAAACCCACATCGTACCACCTGGACCCAAGAAAATGCCTGGGAACGCCTCCTTCGTACATGCGTCTGACTCTGGGGCCCTGCTCTCAACTCCATCAGGGCCTTCTCCACCATCCCATCCCTAGCCACCCTTTGTAATTCTCATGGCAGGAAACCCTGAGACAGGATGGGGAGACAGAAACAAAGGGATAGTGGCTGGACTCATCATTTCACTGGTGGAGGAAACTCACCCCACCAGTGCAGGCAGGCACCTCCTCTCCGACTCAGTCTCAGAGAATGACCCAGGTCAAGAGACGTGGCCGGGGTCTCACAGCTGGTGCACATCAGGGGCAGGACATGAAGTCACATCTTTCTGACCTCAAGGCCTCCTCCCTAGCCGTTACACAGGCCACCTCTTGTGAAAACAAACCACAGCATGTTTTTTGGATTTTTTTTAAAGACACCGGTAAGGGAAAGATATAAATGAATGATGACCCCAAGGTTACAAATGGTGGCACCAGAGACACAAACAGACAAGTCAGAAGGAAAAGCAGGGCTGGTGAGTGTAAGTGCGTGCGTGTGTGTGTGTGTGTGTGTGTGTGTGTGTGTGTGTGTGTGTGAGTATATGTGAGAGTGTGTGTGTGTGTATATGTGTGAGTGTAAGTATGTGTGAGTGAGTATATGAGAAAGAGAGAGAAAGAGAGAGAAAGAGAGAGAGAGAAAGAGAGAGAGAGAGAGAGAGAGAGAGAGTGTGTTCAGGGTGAAGGGGATGATGACTTCCTGGGAAAAGACAAATACTGGAAGAGGCCAGACCAGCCTAGAACCCGAGACAAAACGGAACAGAGGGGAAGGGCGGGGGGTGAGAACAGGGAGTTCAAAGGAAGCCTGGGAGGTACTCATTAAGCCCATAGGAAGATGGTGTAAAGCACAACACAGCAGGAATGTGCAATACAAATAGAATACAAATGTGGGAGGCCAGAGACTCAGCCCTCGAGACTCTGAGGAAGATGAATTATTAGTTTTTTGCTTTTGGTGTTTTTTTGGTTTGTTTTTTGGTTTTGGGGGTTTTTCTAGTGAGGCAATCGGGGTTAAGTGACTTGCCCAGGGTCACACAGCTAGTAAGTGTCAAGTGTTTGGTCTGAGGCCGGATTTGAACTCAGGTCCTCCTGACTTCAGGGCCGGCGCTCTATCCACTGCGCCACCTAGCTGCCCCGGAAGACGAATTATTAGGGAAACACAAGGAGAGAAATTACAGAACGGTAGAACTGGAAACAGGGCCGGCCATGGAGAGCAGCCCCTCATGTGACAGATGAGGAAACTGAGGCGTGGGGACATCAGTGACTTGTGTGTAGACCCCAGTGAGGTAGCATCACAGCCAGAGTGAGAACTGGTCCTGAATGTCAACCCATTGCTCTTTGGGAATTTAAATCCCAAAATTATGTTCGTGGAAGGCAAGAACATGCAAGGGTCTTCTTCATAACTGGAAGGAACAAAAAAGACCTGTGGACAAAAAACGAGAAAAGAGGTGGGAAGAGCTGGCTGGGAAGAAGGGAAGCTCCCAGAAGGCAGCCTCTCCCGGGCCCAAGGAGTAGCAGGCCCTTACTAAGACGCTACCATGGCCGCATCACCACCAGGCCAGGGCAGACGTCCTGAGTCAGGGAAAGACAAGGTGGGCCGAGAAGACAAATCCCTGCTCCTCCCCCGGCTGCCCACCTCCCCGAGGCCTTGGAGATCTGCCACCAATGGGCTGGTCCTGGTTTCACCCGTCAGGACTCAGAATGGGATGCTTAATTCCTCCCCCCCCACCCCGCCCCCATCTCAAAGCCAAATCAGAAAAAAGGACATCGGAAGAGGACAATAAGCATCAATCTTTTCAAGATGTTATTTTTGTCTTGTTGGTGAACATTAATGCATAATTAAACAGGAATCAAAAAAAAATGTTAAGATGTCATCTTGGCTACTTTTTAAATGTCAACCAAGGGCCTTCGGGTCCTGGAGCCTCACAAGTAAGCAGAGTCAGCCGCTGGGGTCTGAATCCCAGCCAGGGACCTTGGGTCACATGCTCCGCCTCACTCTGGGCCTCAGTTTCCTGGTGTGTAAAATGATGCAGCTCTAACATCTGATGACCCAGAAGAGCCCTGCCTCCCAGGTCACCTGAGAAGAGACAGGAGGCCGAGGCACAGGGTTAAGTGAAGGAAGGTGAGAAGGCCTGACAGCACTCTTCCCTAGCCAGTCCGGCCAGCCCGAATGAGCACCTGCCTGTAGCAGACACAGAGCTGGGCATGCAGGACACAGACCCAACCAAAAACAGCCCCTCCCCTTCAGGAGGGCCCCGGTTCCAGGTGCTCCCAACTGCTCTTGCTGACATGAGAATGAGGGTAGTCTGATCTCCTGAACAAGGCCCCGGAGCAAGGTATCGAAATGTCTGGCTCCTAACGTTTCACAACACACAAATCCGGCTGCTCAGGGTCCGAAGGCCGCTGGTCGCTGCTTTTCCAAAAAGTAAATTGGAAGCCTCTCACTTGGCCAGCAGCAGAAGGGGGGAAATCTTTAAAGGAAACATGCCTGCCTTCTGTGATCTGCCCTGAGCCTGAGGCCTCATTCTATAATAGAAAGGAGCCAAGAGCAGACAGTACAGTGACCTTCCCCAAATCACCCAAGCAGTCACAGGAAGAGCTGGCGTCTCCTCCTCTCCTCCCTCTAAGTCCAAGCAGACGGGCAGGACACATAGGACCACCTGCAGGCCGTGGATCGTCCTTCCATTCTTCTGAAGACCCTCTACAGGGCAGCAGCCCCTCCTGCTCTCTCCAGAGGCTTTCTCTGCTGCCATCGTTAATTCATTGGAGAATTCTGACCTTTCGGAGGTGACCTTGTCCAGATGCCCAGAAAGCCAATCCAGCAAGACGGCTCTCTGGGGGAGAGACACGTGAGCGAGGCCCCCGAGCCAGCTGGCCTGCCTATGGGAAAAGGTACAGTGATTTTGATGAGGCTTTCCCTCTCCTGACAACAAAGGTCCAGCTTATTTTGACACAGTCTCTTTCCTGTGATTCTGTGCAACTCAGAATCATGGAATACCAGGATCTCCCAAGTGCCCAAGCTGATGGTCACCTAAGGGGTGAGGAGAGAAGGAAAGTAGTTTGGCGGGCAGGAGGAGGCCACATGGGAGGTCTCAGAAAGAGGAAGGTGGGCCATTCACATGGGGAGAGTGTCCACACATCCCAAGCACTGCACTGGTCCCGCCGGTGTGGAGAGAGATGTACCTCACAAGAAAACCATCTCCAGGGCTCCACAGGGGCCACTGCCTTCCCATCTGCTCCATATGGATGCATCTCGCACCCACACAGTTGTGTGCACACGGTCTTCCCCACTGGACCGTGTGCTCCTTGAGGGCAGGGACGCCTTTTACCTTCCCTTTCGTCCCCGTGGCTTGTCCAGGGACTCACAGAGAGTTAGCACAAAAGTGAGCACTAAAGGCTGAGTGCGCTGAGTAGGGCCAGTGTAGGAATTCAGAGAGGATGATAAAGTAGCCCAGGATGAGAGTGTGAAGGGATGGTAATCGCATCAATGGAGCGAGGCCTGCGCCATGAGATCACCACCCGTGTCATCCGTATCAAGGGCTAGCGTTTCTCTGGCGCTTTGGGGTCTACAAAGCAGTCTATAAACATGATCTCATCTTATCCAGATCTGGCACTCTGTTCACCAATTATCCAAGAACTTGGGAGGGAGAGGAATAAATTTCAAGGGAGGAAAACCACGAAAGGGTGGGCCCACAGCACGCTCAGCCGTCAATTCACTAGCTGGGAGATTATCCTGAACTTTTCAAAACACTTTTCTAGGGCAAGGAGTCGAGCGGCCGGCTGCCCCTGGAAAGCCTGCCTAGCGAGTTGCCTGGCATCTTAAGAATTTGCCCGCTCTGCTACATGGTGACAGTGCAACCCTGCCCTATATGACTGAACAAGCAGTAGTAATAATAGCAAATGTTTATACAGCGCTTCAAGGTTTACAAAGCATCTGACAAAGTGTTTCATTTGATTACCCACGATAACCCTGAAAGGTAGATGCTATTATTACTCTCACTTCACAGATGAGGAAACTGAGGCCAAGGGCAGTTACCTAGCATCTGAGGCAGAATTTGTACTCAGAGGTCTTCCGCCCGACGCCAGGCCAACATCCAAACTCCCAGTCCACAAGGGCTAAAATTCCAATCCCGTTCCTAGATGTAACAAGGGAAAGCAGCCCTGGATTTGGAGTCAAAGTCTCCGGGTACGATGTCCAGCTCTGGTCCCTGGGCGACCTCTCGGGCCGAGCTCCTCCCCCACCCGATAAGGAGGCGGCTAGATGACCTCGGAGCTCCCTTCCCCCTCTAAATCAACAATTCCATGAAGCTGACTCCAGAACACTGCCCTTCCCTTCAAAGATTCTGTCCATCCGCAGCCACCATGCAGCCACCGGCACTGAGCTTTAGGACGACCCATCCCAGGCAAAGAAAGTAAACACCTAGGGAACGAGGGCTTAGGTTACTTTCTCTCTCTCCTTAAGACCTCAACATCGTGGTTCACTGCTGACTCAGCGCTGCCCTGTCTGAGCCGCCAACAACCTGATAGGAGCCACCAGTGTCAGGTAGAACAGAGGCGCAACGAAATTAAAGCTGAGCCGCAACTGGGTAAGTACGTCTACATGCTCCAATATCAGGGCACCAGCGTTCAGGCGCTGCTTTTCTCAAAGTCGAGCTGCTTCCCCTGGCTCCCCTTCTCCAGGTGCTAAGGCCCTCATTTCCAAAGGGGGAAGCCCTAAGTGCTCCCCTGGGGGCCCCAAGGAGGCTGAAAGAGCTATCAGAGCTTATAGCCGGGCAGTGACTGACCCAGAGGAGACGTCAGAGCCAAGAGATATAAATAACAGATAGACAAGCACCCAGGCCAGAGAGGCGGCCTGGCAGCAAGGTGATCCGCACTGGGAGGGCCCACACCAAGTCAAGCATGGCTCCAAAGGAGCATTTTTGGTTTTCCTTTGAGAGATGGGGGGAGAGGCCAGAGAAGGAAGATGGCCAGATCTGGGGGAGAATTTAATCAATCAAGAAATGTTTATTAAGTGGTTACCGTGCTGTCAACAAGCATTCAGCAGCACTTACTATGTGCCAAGCCCTGTGCCGAGCGCTGGCGAGACAGAACAGCAGCAGGAATTCCCAGCTTGGAGATACCCTCCATTGACGAAGCTCAGCAGCTCACTAAGGGGCACAGAGAGGGGAAGGGCTGCCTTAGGCGGGTCACACAGCCAGCATGGGCCAGGGGCAGGGCTTCACCCTGGGCGTTCCAGCCTCCAACGCCGCCTTCCTCCTAGTTTCAAATGTGGGCATTGTTCTGCCAGATCTCCCAAAGTCCACTTAGGTTTCTGGACAATCCGGGGTCCTCAGAGAGGTGGCCTGGCAGAGCTTGCCTCAGGCCTAGCTCTTCCAGGTACCAAGTCATGTCTCTGAGTCAAGGGACGTCACCTCGCCACGACCTGAGCAATTTTCTAAGACTGAGTTACGGATGAGTTGTTGATCTGTATCCAAGAAGGAAATCTCCACCCTGGGAGTTCCCCCATACAGACTGGCATCACAAGTCTGGACCAAAAATAAAAATAACAAGCTACTAAGTGAAGCAAACACACAATTTGTTGTGACTCTTAGCAAACGTTTTTGTTGGTATAAATTAAAGCCTGTCTTCTGTGTAACAAAAAAAAAAGTCTCAATGGAATAAAAGTTATAATTTGGTTGGGGATATTGTGGTAATATTTTTTTTAAATCACAGCTTAACTACTTGTATACTATTCTATTAGTTAGGAAGTTGGCAGCCTTATCTCCCTAATTCCGACCATAACTAGTCTTCTCGGGAGGGATAAATTAGAACAACGCACGTCCTGACCCTCCAGTCTATAACCTTAAGGAGAGAACCATTGGGACCCACCCGCTTCTAAAAGCCGCAAAGTCAGGGACAAAATCCTGCCACCTTCCTCAGTGCCCACCCACCCAGGCCCCTCTCATCTTCCTGCCCTTTGCTTCTATAGAAAGTCAGCGATTCTGGCCAACGTCAGCCTGAGGAGTCCAACATTCGCTGCATGTGATCCTGGGTGTCCTCAAATGCCCTTGTGGTTATTAACCGGATTACTTCTGCCATCCCAGAACGGGTCTTTGGAGAAGGCTGCATTGGTGACTCTGGAGATCAACGTGGAAATACGACATCTATCATCACCTCCTCTCCTTTTAGAAGAGGGATGAGACGGAGGGAAGGGGAAAAATCTCTCTGTGAGGCCATTTCTAATCCACTGTGAAATTTATGACAGCATTTTCTTTTCACAAAGAAGTTGATTAATATTTAGCATATTCAGCCCATCCCAAAAAGCTCTGAAGAAACAGGAGGGTGTCCGGAGCCAGAGGAGTATAAACGGCCAAACCCCACGCAGGTGGCACCGACCTTGTGCATTTTATTTTAGTTAAGAAATTAAAACGACATAAGCAATGCTTGCCTTTTTTTCTTTTTTTGCAATCTTGCAAGCAAGATAAATTCAAGGGCTCCCCACTGCATGGGTGCCAAGCCACCATCACTGAGCTGAGAGACAACGTCTGACTTAGGGGAGAAACTACACATCAATTAAAATCATTCACAAGTCCATGACCTGCAGCCTCTTGAAGAGTCAGCCTGTCCCAGAGCCGTCACTCAGGTCATTTCTGTCTTTCCTGAGGAGACAGGCCATTCTCCCATAAGAGGCGAAAGCTGGATTCTCAATGTATACAGCTGCAGGAGTGCTGACAGTCAGAAAAGACCCGGGGCTGAGAGCTTCTGGTACAAAGGTACAGATGGTACAAATCTCAGTCCAGTATTTCTCTCCCTCTCTCTCTCTTTTTTTTTTTTTTTGGTGAGGCAACTGGGGTTAAGTGACTTGCCCAGGGTAACACAGCTAGTGAGTGTTATGTCTCTGAGGCCGGATTTGAACTCAGGTCCTCCTGAATACAGGGCTGATGCTCTATCCAGGGCGCCAATTCAGCTACAATCCAGTATTTCTCAAGTCCCTACTGGGGACCTGTGCTAGGCAGCAGCGACACAGAAAACTAAAACACTCCCTGTCCTCAAGGAATGACAACTTATACTCCAATGAGCTGCCAGAAGGGCCCCAGGTACAGAAGAACCTGTGGAGTTGGGCGGGGGGGCATGAGCAGAACAAGGCACATGAGCTGAGATATGGGACAATGAGAAGAGGCCAGATTGGGAGTCAGAGAACCCAAGCTTGAGGCCTCAGGGGGAAGCACCAGGGCAGACCGTGGTCTACACTGCCCAACAAGGCCTCAGCCTCACTGGTCTTCTTTCTGTGTTACAAGGGAGGCTCAGTCTGGGGCTTCAGCTGGGATGTGACAAAGGCCTCCATCACTAAGTATTTGCTGAAAGGGCCTCCTACGCGTTGTGCCCTGCACCGGCTCCAGAGACGCGTGCAAACGCTTCAACGGTGAGTGCCTGGTTCCAAGGAGTTTGTGGTCCACGAAGAAAACATACACACAAAGTATATCAAAAATATGTAGATTTAAATATAATATGACAGGGCAAGGAGAAGGCAAGGACAGCTGTGGGGAAGAGGGGTGGGATGAGCAAGGCCTCACCAAGGAAGGAGGTGAGGATGGAGCAAGTAGAGGAGGGGGGAGGCATGCGATCCCGCACGTGCAAACATCTGGAGATGGGAGACGGATGGGTCATGTGAAGAACAGCCCAGAGACCAGTCTGAGAGAAGCACCGAGTGCCAGAAGGAAAGCCACAGAGTAAGTCAGCAAAGGCAGGTGGGAGGTGGCTGTGAGGAGCTGGAAATGCGAGTGAGGGCCAGGAAGCGGAGCCTGAGGGGCCTGTGAGCTCCCTTTCAGCTACAAATCTATGCTCTTATCAAACCCCAACAACTGAGGTTTGGGAGGCATGAACTATACCTAACCAA